TTGTTGTTTTCGTTTTTCTCAACATGCACCTCTGTGAGAAATGATTTTATTTCATTTCTGAATAACTTTTCAGGCAAAGCCATATCATGTCCAAGACCATCTGGGGAGTTAATACTGGATTTGACTTTCATGTCCACAGCCAATAAATGCTTAATCGCAAATCTAAGAAAAGCTCCCTCCTCCCCCGCACAATTTTTACCAGTACAGCAAAGCCCATATTCAGCAAGCAAATCATGGAGACCTATAATCAACTCAACCTAAACAAAAATTGAGAAAGTCTTACAAAGTAGCAAACTAGATAGCTTTTAGTATCATGGCTGATAATTGTAAGATAACATTCTTAGTAGCCATGTCTTACTTGATATTTTGTAGACATGGTAGAATCAAGGTGTTGAAGTTTACAGAATCCAATAGCTGCATCGAGAAAGCAAGACTTCTTCTCTTCTTCAATCCCATCAGCATCTGAATATCTCTTAGAAAGAAAATTCCTCATGATATATGACATGACTCTCAAAAGCAAAGCTTGTATACCAGCTACACAGTCTCTTGGGGCAACCATGCCATTCTGCACAACGAACATACACATCAATACACGAGTCCATATTTTATTTGTTTTCTAGGACAATAAAATTGTTGCAATATTGATCTCTTGTACATTTTCCTGCCTAGTAATTACCAATAATTATTTTAAAATATTTTATACTCTTTTAATAGTCTGTAGTACAAGAGCCCGAAGATTGTCATATTGAATTAGCATATAGAGTAAGGAACAAGCAGATGACGCAGTTAAATGATTCAAACAAGCTCAATGACCATCTGTTTAGTTGATCTCATATGCTGTTAGCTTGTACCAGCATGATCAGAATCACACATCCAAAGCAAACAAATATTATTTTTTGAATTTTTTTTAGCACTATACCATATAAATCAGAATAAGTTTCAGACTTACAGTGTTTCCTGACTCGTCAAGGAAGTTCTTCACATGAGAGATACAGAGAAGTATTGCCTTGACTTCCTCAGCCACCAAGTGATCCCAACTCTCACTTGAATCTTTATACGAGGTTTTAGGTGTCACAACAGATCCTCCCGTAGCAGTTGATTCCAAGAGAACTTGCAACTTTCTTCTATGACAATTCATATAAACCTCAACATCTATAGGGTTACTCTTCTGACATGCTTCTATTAAAACGTCAAGTGCTGATAACTCAACAGAGGAGATCCCTTCTTCTGTTTTCAAAGCGTATGCAGGCAAGATGTCTTTATTTGAAAACAAAAGAGGTGAAAGTAAATTTACACACTCCGAATAAACTTCTTTCTCTATCATCTCAGGTATAGTAGTTTCCAACAAGATATCAATCTTAAGCAGATTTATTTCATGAATGATTCTGTTGATGTTCAGCTCTGGAATTCTTCTGCAGTGAGGCAGCTGAATTAAGACAGGAGCTTCTCCAATACCTTCCTTGTCTAACAATGACAAACACCTGCAAAATTCTTCTAGTGCTTTAGCTTTTTTTTCCTCCAAAATTGATAACCATGCACTCAACCAGAAATATCGAGCCCAGAAAGATCTTTTATTATAATCTAACACCTCCTTGGCAGTCTCATCACCTTGAAATCTCTTAAATGCAGAGTCAGAAAGACTTTTTTCCCAAGAAATAGGCGTAGCGTCGATAGCATAATCAAGGGACACAGATTCAATTATCTTCGAGAGATGGTATGTTACTTCTACCATGCATGATGGGCCATCAGGACTATCTGATTGTTTAGAGTCAAGATCAAAGTACAGCTCGGCGAGAAAAAGACTGCATTCAGGTTTCCGATCTCGGCCCCAGTGTCTTGTGAGCTTTTCTAGCTCCAAAATTTTTAAGCCAGTATGACGAGCCAGTAGATGTTCACATTTACTAGCAATATATTCTAGAAGCAAGTGACCCATATGATACGCACCATAGTTTTCTGAATTTTCCTTCACAAAATTAGAAACGACAGCGTGTTCAGAAATTGGATTAGATTCCTCAAGGCAGAAAGAACCAGCAGATACTCTGTTGAATGCCCTTTCAATGACAAACTTCTCAAGATATTGAAGGATGTCACTACTAGGATCCTTGCTATTATCAAATTCTAACTCTTCCTTCTCAGGTTTCTGATTCCGAAGCCGTTCAAGACGAGTACTCCGCCTCTCTTGGGGGTGTTCTTCTGAAAACACAGGTTCTTTTTCTTTTACAGCACCACTACTTTCTATTTCGAAGTTGCAATCCTTAACAGACACAATACTTGAATCTGAATCCACACAATCGTCCTTCTTTTCCAGACCTTGCATTACAGCCTCTGTACTAAGAGCTAATTCAATGTTTAATGGTATATCAGCTGATATGCCCACAGTTTCACGCGAAGGATGCACTATCCCAACTAGAATATTTATCAGTGCCACCCATGAAGCTTCAGGAAGTTTCACTCGCACGCTGTTTTTCAACTTCTTGGAGGCAGCATTCATGTCCTGATTCATGTCAGACACCTTTCTTTTGCCAGGAAATTTGAGCCGAACGTGCCGAGGTTCAAGTTTATCTATACCCTTGGGCGCAAAAGGGGCTGAATCTGTTTCTTCAATACATTGTTTAACATGCAAAGCACGAGAATGTGATGGCCAATGCCTTAAAATCAGATTTGCAACTGATAGACAGGAAACTTCATCACCTATGGCAATGAGAATTTCTAAAAGTTTCTCCATGCAGTTCCCTGCACGATAGCCAATTCAATATTTAGGGGGGAGGAAATGAGGGAAGCATATATGCAACAGTACATACCACATATGACCTACGTGAACCCACAAACAGAGAGCAATCATAAATTCAACATCTATTGCAAAAGCTATAATTCATATGGAAACATACCAGTGGAATATAAAAGAGTATAAGATATTTTTTTAAACCGTGACAAACTAGGATTCCCTATAGGTTTTATATGCTTATGTATGTATATATGGGGAGAAGACAGAAGACGAAAAACAGAACTTACAATTATTGGGGCTGCAGAGAAGTCCTTGTTCAAATGCCCATCGTGAAATACTCAGTAGTCCCATAGAACAAGATAGAGTTCCAAGATGGTTCCACAGCACAGAATCTTTTGCATCTAGGTCTATAGCTTGAAGATAACAGTTTAGAGCATTCTCGTAATGACTGGAACCTAGCTCAAGAAATACAGTGGCAAGGTTCTTCAAAGCCAAAAATCTGCAGAAAACAAAATGTACAGAAATAAGCGATCACAGTACTAATAACCAAAACATATTCGAACTCTGTAACATCAATTACTAGACATGTAACCAGATGAAAAACATGGAGCTTGACCTGAGATGATGGAGATGATTGTCGTTTGCAATAGTCTCCACCTGGAAAGAAATGACTTAATTAATGTCCACAAGGAACAGATCAACCTTCAGATAAAGCATTAGAGTAACAGAACAAGTTTGTTTACTTTGGAGTTAGCAATTATAGGATCCTTAAGGATAGATTCAAGCAGCTCCCGAGCCTTTTCGTAGTCTTTAGCTTGCAGCTTGAGAAGACCATCATGATATGTTTGTGACAGATGAAACTCCTGACGAGGGCAAACCAAAAAAGAAAAGAGTTCAATTTCGATTTTCAACAATGAGCTGATCTCGCTTCAGATTATGATGCATCACAAACACATAAAGTTGCCAGCTTTATTTTCAGACACCCCAAAATAGAGAACAAAGCAGGCCTAAAACAAAAGGAATACCTGAGCTTCTTTGCTAGGTGCTAAAGGTTCCCACTTCTCTGTGGATTCCGTATCATTGATAGCTGCAATCGAAAACTGAAGAAAGGAAAAACAACAAAAACGAAGACACAGATCAAAAACCAAACCCTAATAGCTTAAAAGGATCGAATTTGATTGCCCGAAATTTGTATTACCATCTTTTGATTGATAGTCGAAGCTGCAGAGGAGGAGGAAGTACTCCGTGATTCAAATTGCGTCTATCTATCTTCTTCTAGGGTATATACACATTTATTGATTAGGGTATTAGAACTCATGTATCCATTCTCTGTGTTGTCTCTTCTTCTTCTTCCAATGTGTTTTGGCTATTTTGCAACTCTCCGTTAGCCGGACTGTTAAACCAAAAAAAATAAAAGGTTTTTTCCGATAATGAAAATTTTGCGCACACACACACACAAAAAAAAAAAAAAAAAAAAGGAAAAGAAAAGGAAAAGTGATAACATTATACTTTAGCACTTTTCAAATAGTAAATACTCTAGTAGAAGAAAAAGTAAAATAAATACTCTTGTAGCTTTTTCAATTTAGACTTGAGTTTCCTATTTTGGAGACTTTTGTATTGTAACTCAAAATTAACGGAGTTATATAACAGTAACACACATATTTGTTTAAGCAGTCGTATTTTGTTCATCTTTGAAATTTCAAAACAAACATATGTCAACGACCTATCATTACTTTGCTAAACTAAACACATTAATCTCTAATTAATTTGGTTATCTCTCGCATTACTTCAACTTTCTTTATTATATAGGCCGCTACTTTTAATGGGCCTAATTCTGTTTCAATATGCAATGAACTGAATTGGACGATCCATTAACTCTTATACTAATTTTGTAAGAATGGATCGTATCATTACCTCTTATACTGATTTATCAACCCAAATTATATGATATATAAAAAAATTTATTACAACAGCACGTATTAAAATCATTTGGGTTCATAAATCATAACAGAAAAAGTTTTAGGACCTCGAGATAAAATTGTAAAATCTTAAATTTTCCCTATACAGTATATATATTATTACCGAGTGTGTTTGATAAAAACTTATCTACACGGTTAAGGTAAAATATCAATTATCAAGGTCCGGTCCACAAAGACAACACCCTGGCAAGTGGCAAGTGGCAAACACATAAAAAAAAAGTCGACCGTTATGGCTTTTTCCGCTTTTAATAATTCAAAACTGTCTCTTAGTTTTGTATTTTTATTTGAAAGGGCCGCTCCTCCACCTTAATTTTTCAATTGGATTGGATCTGTCGTCACCCCCACCTGAATTTTTGGCCTCTCTCTTTCTCTCTTTCTCTTTTGTCGGGGTTGATCTCTTCTTCCATGGCGATCCCTTCCGAGACACAACAGCAGGACAAGGTACTGTTTCTGGTTTCACGATTCCATTACCTGGCCTCATGATCTTTTCGTCCAGTTTTTGTTTTTAGGGATTTTGAAAGCTAATCCTTTTGAGATTCTCAATCTTTCGTCCAGTATTTATTTCGATTTTTTTTTCCTTTGTGTTAGGCTTGATAATTGGGTTCTTTTGCACGATTAGGGTTTTTGAGAATTTTGTGAATTTGATTAAATCGATTTCATGATGAAAGCGAAAAATGTTGGTGTGTAAGACTAATCAATCTTCGTTTCTTGACAAGGGGTTAATCAATTTTCCAAACCATATTCATTTTTATCGATTCAAATGTCTAATCATCTGAAAATGGTTTTGATTCAATTTGTGAGATCAGGAGGCTTCAGATGCTTCACAAAAGAGATGGACTTTAAGCGATTTCGACATCGGGAAGCCTCTTGGAAGAGGAAAATTTGGTCACGTCTATCTCGCCAGAGAAAAACGGGTCAGTATACCAATCAATGATCTCCACAAACTTCTTAGTATTTCTGTGGTTTATGTTCTATTGGACTTTAAGTCTTAGAATCCTGAAGAAATTTTGGTTACATTTTTTTCTCATGTGCATATGCTTGCTTTGTATGAAACAGAGCAATCACATTGTCGCTCTGAAGGTTCTTTTCAAGAGCCAGCTTCAACAATCTCAAGTTGAACATCAGCTCAGAAGAGAAGTCGAGATTCAGTCTCATCTTCGACACCCCAATATACTCCGGCTCTACGGTTATTTCTATGATCAAGTAACTTCAAACGTTTCTCCTTTCTATCCAAAGATTTAACTCTTCCAACCTCTTTATCATAATTAACTTCTTCAATTGTTGCAGAAAAGAGTTTATTTGATACTTGAGTATGCTGCCAGAGGTGAACTTTACAAAGAACTTCAGAAATGCAAATACTTCAGTGAAAGACGAGCCGCAACTGTTAGTTCTTCTTTCTACCTTTTCTTTACCTCTCAAACAATTTTTGTTGTATAAAAACTGATATCCTTATATGTACATTGTGCCAGTATGTTGCGTCATTGGCGAGGGCTCTCATCTATTGCCATGGCAAGCATGTGATACACAGAGATATTAAACCAGAAAACCTGTTGATTGGTGCTCAGGTGATAAGCTTTACCTTTTCCTTGCAGTAACACCTATCAATATGATTATCAAACTAGCTAGTATTGAACATTCATGGATTCTTAACTATCTATATCTATCAGGGTGAGCTCAAGATTGCAGACTTTGGTTGGTCAGTACACACATTTAACCGCAGAAGGACAATGTGCGGCACACTAGATTACCTTCCTCCTGAGATGGGTAAAAGTTTGAAGGCTTGCTTGGAAGTTAGTTCTACTGAGATCTAAATTACATTTAACAGTGACCTTTTGGCTTTCTTACAGTCGAAAGCGTAGAACATGATGCTAGTGTAGATATCTGGAGCCTTGGGATTCTCTGTTACGAGTTTCTTTATGGTGTGCCTCCTTTCGAAGCCATGGAGCACTCAGACACATACAGAAGGTTAAGAAAAAGAGCTGCATTTGAAATCTACAATTATTAGTCTGTTTCTTGTGTGTTTGTCTTCTGATATTGTTACCACAAATGATCTATAACAGGATTGTGCAAGTGGATCTCAAGTTCCCTCCCAAACCAATTGTCTCTGGATCTGCAAAGGATCTAATTAGCCAGGTTTTTTTCTAAATCTTCAACCTTAACACTTAAACTTTGGTGGAAATAGTTGTTATTGAATCTGAAGTCTCACATATATTTCTCGATTGTATAATATAGATGCTTGTCAAGGAGTCTTCACAACGTCTGCCATTGCACAAACTTCTGGAGCATCCGTGGATTGTGCAAAACGCTGATCCTTCTGGAATCTACAGAGGTTAAAAACAAAACGTTTTCAGTTCTTGGCAATCTCTCGAGCCAAACTGTTATCTATAAAGACAAGAACACCACTGTGTAGGTGTATGAATCTTCTTATTACTATTATTTTGCTAGTTCATGTTTCGAATAATGTGTATCCTAAGAAAAATTGAGTATCTATAATTCTGTATTACATAACATGTACTATGTCAAAAAAAAAAAAAAAAAAATGTACTATGTCATTAATGGGAGAAGAAAAGTCTTTTATACAAAGTTTTTTCTTGTCTATAATTTCAAGTAAGCTTTGTAAAAGGGCCGGCCAACATGAAAGACCAACGTGGAATAAGCACTCGAACCAACAATCTAGCAGGACATTTGAGGTGTTTTTGCCGGAAGTGAGAAAACAAATTGAGAAAAGACGTGTAAATTAGAAGAGTTTCAAAAGATGGATCTTCAACAAGAAAAAATAAAAATCACGAGTACAATGATACCATCTTTTACCTACATGATCCAATCTAGCTGGGGTCAAAATTACAAATAAGGAAATGAAATTTTGCCAAACAAAAAAAACTAGATTGTAAACTCAGTGGTTCCTTAAGGAGAATTCATGAAGCTGGGCTGGTTTGTAGATGACAACATCCGCGCCCACATTCTGTCTGTGATCACAACTTTGTTCTGTCTTTCCGTTATCCGCTGCACACATAAAAAGGAAGGATTAAAGTTTGATGATCCGATGGCAAGGATATAAATTTAGGCGAAGAGAAACTTACGTTGAAGGGAATGTAGGTGTGCCTGCCATTAACAAGACCAGATACAAAGCCAGTATAGCCAGCCATTGCACCATGGACTGCGCTTTGGGCAAGGAGAGTTGAGTAGACGTTGTCAGATGCATTGGCTGGAATCGCTCGGATCATGTATGTCGGATCTGAAACATTAGTCTGAACCATATTCATATTTCATGAATATTTATGCAGCTTGAGTTAAAATTTAGGGAGGATTAACATACCAATGTATTTGAGAGTAATGTCCATTACACTCTGCTTTGCAAAGTGTTCCTGTTACAATGCAATAAAAGGAAAAAAATGGTAATAAACCCACAAATCTCTTGTCTTCTGTGTATGGGACTGAATCTCGGTCGCAATAGATTACCTTGATTTTAAGACTCATCCATAGTCCTACATCTTTTAAGAGCTTGTTTCCTGAAGCATCTTGTTGTTCAATGCTCTCTGCAACAAGATCCTGCCCTGCACCTTCCGCAATCACTATAACCATATGGCCATTTTCTCTGAGCCGTTTCGCAATGAACTCAAAGAGCCCTCCTTTGCCTTCAAGGTAAAAAGGTGACTCGGGAATCAGACAGCAGTCAACATCTCGGCTAGCCAAAGTAGCGTACATTGCAATGAAACCTGCAGTGTAGAAGCTATAGGATTAGTTCAAAGCGCAGGGAGAAACATCATAAAGAATATACTTTGTGTGGTCAAAATGTTATATGCATAATTTCTCTCCTAGGTTCTTCAGTGAACTTACCACTGTAGCGACCCATTAGCTTGACAAGTCCAATTCCGTTTTCCACACTGGTCGCTTCAACATGCGCCGCATTAATAGCACGTTGAGCCTCCTCAACCGCAGTATCAAATCCAAAGGACTTGTCAATGACCTGAATCAGAGTTACTATCAAATCTAGCTACTTGTCAACTAGCCAAAATGGGAGAGGAATTTAAGGTTGAGAGTGCACGCTACTATAATGAAAATCTAGGACTTACTGGGATATCGTTGTCAATGGTTTTTGGTATTCCTGCAACTGCAACTTTAAGTCCACGGCGCCTAATTTCCTGCAGCATCAGTCAAAAATATTATCTTCACCAGATTAAAGTGATTACGATGTTCACAAGCACACCAAGAACACTGCTTTACTAGTCAAACTATTATCAAGCCTGTTTATTCCTTCTAGCATATAAAAGTTCATTTTAGCGAGAGTAGAATCTGTTCCAAGGAAAATTAGACAGTTTCCTTTTTTTTTCTTTTTTTTTTTTTTGTAAACGAGACAGTTCCCTTTATAAAGTGTTTTAGATAGATACAATCCAACAATAATACAAACAACATTTCACTAACCTTATATATGGCATTTGCTCCCTTTTGGGTTCCATCACCTCCAATAATGTAGACCTATATCACAAATAAAGCAACTCACTCGTATAAGTATAACTATTCTCCATAGAACACAAACAAACTGAAATAAATAAAAAACGTTATTCTTGAATACCTGATTTATTTCACGATCTTGTATGTTGTCGACAATCTTTGATGTATCATGCCCCCCTCGGGAGGTTCCTAGTATGGTTCCCCCGCGCTTGTGGATGTCACTCACAGTCTTCGGTGTTAGTGAAACAGTGTTTTTGGAATAGAATCCACGAAACCCGCACTGCAGTATTGGAAACCAGATGAGCCAAAACAAGTCCTACTCAAATCAATAATCGCTAAACTAGTGTTTGCTTTCCAGTTTAATGCGCACAGAGGTTATAGTTCCCACATGTATATTAACTCTGCTATTTCTAGAATACAATATGCAATAGCAGTTACAGAACAAAGTATTCAGTCTTCAATTTTGTGACATAATGAGATCATAATCCCCAGCAAAAAATGCCTAAAAGCATAAAATGTAGGTCTGAAATTGAACTCACATCCACACCAATCACTTCTGTAACACCATACATAAAATGAAGACCACACACGATCTCCCTAATCACTGTGTTAAGCCCGGGGCATAGGCCACCACATGTGACAATACAGGCACGCACATCAGCTGGCTTGAAGTACACCTAAACATAATATGAAACTCATATATCAGCAGGTTTTACATTGTAAGATGGGGAAGCTGCAGGAGAAGGGAAACTCATGGAAAGAGATGAAATACCTTCTGGCGTGGTCCTGCCCGTCTAAAATGTGTCCCTCTAGGAGAATCCATGTGAACAACAATCTGTGAATGATACGAAAAAGAAAAACGTGCAATGTGCTTAGTACTGCTAACATATCACAATATAATTTATGCAGAGAACAAAAGACCAAAACGTAAGAAAGGAAAGCGGCGGTGAGTTTCACCTTTTCTTGCACTGTATCATCCTCATGAACAAAATACTGCCTGAAAATCTCAGAAAACATGAACCCAAATAACTAAACATCATCTAGTAATCAACCCAGCTCACGAGTACAATGTCAACTTACCTAACTACTGAATAAGCAGGATTCGCTTGCAACGGGTTTGGATACGTCTGTAGAACCCCCAAGAACAGAAAAAGACATCAGCAAAATTGAAATACCAAGAAATGAAAATATAACAGAAATATGAAATGGACCAAGTATATAAGAATCATATAAGTCTTGTCCAGTCCTGGATTATACATATACGATATATCCTTACGTTTCTAATAGTTATCAAATAATGTATCAATTAGATCTAGTCAAACATTCCACTAAGAGTAGGCAAATGTGCAGCAATCCATTACAACGTTCACAGTGATTAACATTTGTATTGCACTATGAGAATATAAATAAATGTTTTTTTTTATGTAATTCTCCATGATAGCAACAGGATCTCATCTAGAACCCAAATTACAAAAACCCGAAACAATAGGAGACTTAAAAATAGGGATAAAAATCAATTATACAAAACACACAACACTTTGCATTTGCTATACACACACACGAACCAAATCGGCCACAATACCAAATTCTTGTTTAATCGTATTGAAAAGATCCAGGAAGATGACGATACCAAAAAATATAATCAATGGAATCATATCAAGATAGAGAAAGGAAGTAATACGGTGAGATCGTGAATGTAATCGCTCAAGTGAGGAACATCTTCGAGCACATAACCAGCAGGTCCTTCCACCAGCTTAATCACCTCATCGTCGCCATTAGAAGCCATCGTAGTCCTTATTCTTCTGTTTGTGTTTTCTCCGGTGACGTAAAGCGAATGTGAATTTGAAGCGTATGTTTTATGTTTACTTTTTATTCTCAGAGCTCAGAGTGGTATAGAAGTAAGAAGAGAAAATAAAAAATGAGGGGTTTTCGAAACGACACACGACGTCGTTATTACTGAAATACCAGCGGAAACGGCGGCTGGTTTTTTTACTCTTTGTCACTTTCCGGTTTTCAGATTTATTATTTTTTAATTTATTATGTAATTTATAGAATATTTTGTATTTATCCAGTCTCAAATAAAGTAAAAGGGAAAAAGACAAATCTACAAGTGACTGGCAAAAATAGTAAAGTATTTTATTTTTCTAAACATATTTATATATTTTTCTATACTAAGTGTATATAAATCTTATTGTACATGACAAAGAGAAATATCATATATATCCTTGTTGGAAAAAAATAGCATTTAATATCAATAACAAATATTTTGTAAATAAAATATGTCAAGGTAATGTATTGGTCACATAATGACACTCTAGATTTATAACAAAATTATGTGTCACTATGAAAATTATTCAAGTACTCTTTCTCTATACATTTGTCAGATTTACCATGTTGTAATGAAAGTTTCCCTCCAAAACCAATTACTAATAAACATTTAATAACAAGAAAGTTTGAAAATATGACATATGTAAAAAAAATTTACAAAACTCAGTTGAGTAGAAGATTTGAATTGAACAATCAATAAGTAAAAAAATAATTAATTTAATAACAAATAAGCCAAAATAGTGGATAGATAATTTGGCTGTTAAAAATCAAATTTAACGTTATAGTTTGCATGTTTTACTTTTATATCGATTGTTAACAAACAAATTTGACGTCATGTTTTGCATGCTTTGCATTTAAGTCGACTGTTGAAAACAAATTTGACGTTATGTTTCACTTAAGTAACGGATAGACGATTTGACTGTTAGAAAGAAAATTTGTCGTTATATTTCACATGTTTTACATTTACATCCACCATTGGAAAACAAATTTGACGTTACATTTGGCTTGGTCTATATTTAAATCTTAGCTGTCAGCTTTCAACAAAGCTTTCAATAAATCAATGAATATAATTTTAATGATTTTTGATATTATTCAACTTCACTATTTTTATTAATTTTAAATTGCTTTGAAATAGATAAAAGGATATAAAAAAAAATTCATGAATCAGCTTAAGATTCAGAAAATCTTGATTGATTTATTGATTTGGAAATCAGACAAGTAGGTTCTATAATACCCAAAGCTTCCTCCCAATGTTTAAACATTTGTATTTCATCTAAAAACACTTTTAAATGAAATACAAACTAAACGAATACTAAGAATTTAGATTTTTCACTAGTATTTAAAATTCAAAAAAACATACAACTGATAATATTTCGAAACCAATGATCCATTTAAACATTATACGTAATGTGTTTTCTGGAATTTCAAACCAATTAAGATCTACAGTAGTAACTAGTAACCAATAACTCCACTAACCCCATTAAAATCTCTAACCTAAAAATCCCAAGAAAATTAGTTTTTTTACCCCAAATAACGTCAGCGATTTTTGAACGGAGACTCATCGGCTTCCTCCGTGAAATCATACAACATTAATTAGCGAGAAACCTCCCCACTAATCTAATAATTATTTAAAAAAATCAAATCGCCGTGTATATAATATATGTACATAATTACATACATACACCTACTAATATATATCTTCCCCAACCTTTCCTCTCTCTTTCTCTCCATCTCCCTCATATGCCCCCCTCTCCTTCTTCTTCTCGATCCATCTCTCTCTCTCTTTCTCCTTCTCTCTGTTCCTAGTCCATCGATTTACCCTCTCTCAGATTCTTCTCCCTTCTTCTTTGACTTTTATTTGACACCATAGTCTCTTTCCCCTTCCATCGATTTAGGGTTTCCGATTTCCTCTTTCGAAATTTCCTTATTTTGATTGGTTCCTCTCTCCTTGTGCAATTCCCCGTATCTCTCTACTCGCTCTTTCCCTGTTAGGTTTCGTATTCATCTCTTCCGAGGAGCCTTCTGATCCGATCTCCCTCGAATTATATCGCGTGTGAAGCTAGACCGGTTTCTGATGTTTCCGTGCTTCTCTTTTGCTTGGATCGCCTAATCGTGTTATGATGGTGGGTACTCAAAGTTTAGGTGGTTCGCTGCCGCCTCTCAGTTCTCCTAAAAGCTATGGAATTACGAAGCCGCTCTCGCTTGCTGGGCCTTCTTCTGCGGATATCAAGCGTAATGTGGAGCTGGAGAAGGTAGAGTTTAGTTTCTGTTTCCCCTTTTATTTATTCCACTGTTTAAACGATCCCATGTTTACGTTTTTGGCTACCTGATGTCTGTGTTCCTTCTACTTATGTTTAAAAGTACTTGGTTGACGAGGGACTCTACGAGAGGGAGGAGGATACCATGCGGAGAGAGGAAGTTCTGGGGCGCATTGATCAGGTTACTTACCCTGTCTGGTTGATTGTTTGTTTCTTATTTATGTATGTAGGAAAGTCTTTTTTTTTTTTTTTATGGGTGTTCTAATTGGGTTTTCTCCATCAGCTATTGTCAATTGAGCAAAAATATATTTTTAATGGTCCCTTAGGCTTCACTGTATTGCGTTGTCGATATTGGGGTTAGCTTAGTTCATAGTTCAATATGAAATAAGACTTGGTCATGCATATGTTCATTCGTGTTTAGAGTTGATTTGTTGATTTAAGTTGTCTTCACATGCTGTTCATTGTGCTTTTTTTGTTCATTTTAGATTGTAAAGCACTGGGTGAAACAGTTAACACAACAAAGAGGATATACAGATCAGATGGTAGAGGATGCAAATGCTGTTATTTTCACCTTTGGATCATACAGACTTGGTGTAAGTGCTACATGCTTACCATTGCCTTGCATTTATTTTTAAGGGAAATTATGTTATAATACTTTTTGATATATAATTCTGGACTACTCTAGATTCTATTTTTGTCTCTGCAATGCAATCCTAGTTTGTGAGGCTGAACAAAATACAATTTGTTCACCTGCAGGTACATGGGCCCGGGGCTGACATTGACACTTTGTGTGTTGGGCCATCTTATGTTAATCGGGAGGTGACTCTTGCTATTTACTTCTTATTGATGCAATAGTTGTGTTCTTTTTAGTTCGTAACACTTACTTTTACAGGAGGATTTCTTCATCATCTTGCATGATATATTGGCTGAGATGGAAGAAGTGACTGAGCTTCATCCTGTTCCTGACGCCCACGTCCCGGTCATGAAATTTAAATTTCAAGGAATACCGATTGATCTGCTCTATGCTAGCATATCACTTTTAGTTGTGCCACAGGTAACTTATCTGTGAATTTATCTTTCTTTTCTGTTTTTGCTGGAGCTAAAGGGGTATGATAACTTTATAATATCGTGTTCACTTAGATATAACATTTTTGTGTTTGTTTGCATGTTAGATGGCAACAGATAGTGTACTCTTTCATAGCTTATATACAGAGACATTTTTTATTAATTTCTGGCTTGAGATAGAGCTGATAAGTTGCGGGCTGTTATTGTGTATTGGTTTTGATATGTAGACATAAACTGAGGCACATGAGCGTTCATTATAGTTTCTTGCTGAATTGAATCTCTTGTTTTGGTGGAATTGATTTATCAACAGGATCTGGATATCTCCAGCTCTTCTGTGCTGTGTGACGTTGATGAGCCAACCGTTCGAAGTCTTAATGGTTGTAGAGTAGCTGACCAGATTCTTAAACTCGTTCCAAATTTTGAGGTAAACTCAGAATGCTAGTCATTATGTTAATATATTGATGAATGTTGGTTGCCTTCTCTTATCATATGTGAAATTGTAGCACTTCCGGACAACATTAAGATGCCTGAAGTACTGGGCTAAAAAGCGTGGTGTCTATTCAAATGTAAGATTTAACTTTCTAAAATTTGTATTTATTGATTATTTTCCATGTCTGAGCTCTTTTCATATTTCTCATATTGGGCAGGTGACTGGATTTCTTGGCGGTGTAAACTGGGCACTTTTAGTCGCTCGTGTGTGCCAGCTCTATCCAAATGCAATTCCGAGTATGTTGGTTTCTCGTTTTTTCAGAGTATATACTCAATGGCGGTGGCCGAACCCAGTCATGCTTTGTGCAATAGAAGAGGATGAGCTTGGATTTCCTGTCTGGGACCCTCGTAAAAATCATCGCGACCGCTATCACCTTATGCCAATAATCACTCCAGCTTATCCATGCATGAATTCTAGTTATAATGTCTCTCAAAGCACTCTTCGTGTTATGACAGAGCAGTTTCAGTTTGGTAACAATATCTTGCAGGTAATACAGGAATAGTTTGTCTTGTATTCTCAACCATTTATTTAGGATCCTATACTTAAGCTTCATTTTTAATGCAGGAGATTGAATTAAATAAACAGCACTGGAGCTCTTTATTTGAACAATATATGTTTTTCGAGGCATATAAAAACTATCTTCAGGTTGATATAGTGGCATCAGATGCAGACGATTTATTGGCTTGGAAGGGTTGGGTGGAATCGCGGTTCAGACAGCTAACCTTAAAGGTCTATAGCCTCTTCTGTTTATTTGATTTTACAGCAATTAACCTGATGATTCTTCTGTGTCATATTTGTTTTGGTCGAAAATAGAATATATTAAATGGTTCTTGATTTCTTGTCTTTTCATTCAATATTGCAGATAGAAAGAGACACTAATGGGATGTTAATGTGTCATCCCCAACCAAATGAGTATATAGACACGTCTAGACAGTTTCTCCATTGTGCCTTCTTCATGGGCTTGCAGAGGGCGGAGGGAGTTGGTGGTCAAGAATGTCAACAGTTTGATATACGTGGTACAGTCGATGAGTTTAGACAAGAAGTAAACATGTATATGTTCTGGAAACCTGGGATGGATGTGTTCGTTTCTCATGTTCGTAGGCGACAGCTTCCACCTTTCGTATTCCCTAATGGCTTTCGAAGGCCTCGGCAGTCTAGGCACCAAAATCAACAGGGTGGAAAATCTGGTGAAGATGTCACTGTTTCTCATTCCGGCTCTGTGGTAGAGAGGAACACGAAGAGAAAGAATGACAATGAAATGATGGATACTAGGCCAGAGAAACCTGAGAAGCGTGCGTCTCTTAGTCCACAGAGTCTAGACATAGTTTCTCCTGAAAGTAGTGCTATCACTACTGGTTGGACTCCTCCTATTTGTAACCTTAGAAGGCCACCTGGTGAGGAAATAGAGGCTGAAAATTTGAACACTGAGAGTACTGAACTGACTAATTTTGCTCGAAATGAGTGCATCTCTGGCACCGAGCAAGCTTTGGAACTAGATAGTACCGCTCTAGTTCAAGAATGCTCTGATCCAGCTGAGCCTTTGGGAATGTGTGTGACACCTGACTCGAGTGATATGGTAGCACCTGGAAGTGTACAGGAAGAAAATTTAGATAGTGATTTGAGGTCTGTATCAATCAGTGGTACTGACTCTCAACTTCTTCCAAGGCTTCTCGATATGAAAGGTGTAGTCGATGAAGTTGAGAGAGAATCAAATATATTAAGTGGGACAAGGACAACTGGACAAATTGCTGATAGTGTTCTGCCAGGCAAATTCTACGGGCAGAACCGCGAAAATGAGGTGAGTTTTTCTATGTGTATGAGGGTTCTGGTGTGTTATAAAATTTTTTGGCTATAATTGCTTGAACAATGTGCTGGGCATAGTGATGATGGGTTTTTACAGGGTTTCGGGTTTCCTGCTGCAAATTCAGATCCATTTGTTGGAAAGGATAGCTTGTACCCTCAAAGTGGCATGTCAGAAGACTTTCAGGTTATTAAGCTAACTTACAGTTGCTGGCATAAGTTTAGTTCTTTTGAAAGAATCATCTAGCTGGTTCATTAGTATGCGAGCATCCTTCACATCATAATGTCAAGAAATATAGGATGGAGTTAAGTTTGATTTGTTTATGGTAGTCCATATCCAAAACAGTACTGCCTCTTGCCACTTAAGAGGTCAATATTTATGCTGTGTTTTCACTTGCCTTGTATGGTTTCTGCTGCATACTGCCTAACTAGTGTATATATTGGTTGGCAGGTCCTGCACTGCAAAGCAACTCCGCTTGAAACTTTAAATTTTTTTTTACTCTGCTTGAAACTTACTGAATAGAATTTTTTCTTCCTTACGGTTTTGTAAGGAATACAACTAACTTATGGTGTTGCTTGTAACCTTGTTTTGTCTTAGTCAAACTCTTTGGTAAGCGGGATGGAGAAGCCGGAAGACAGAGCTAGGTCAGAATCTTTGCAGAAGTCACAGATAAGGCATGTGTGTTATGCAAAGTCATGATTTCTTTATGTTATTGCTGTTGTTCTTTTGGTTTCATTGGTACTGTTATAGCACAAGCAGGTTAAGCTTAAAGTCCAATGTGTGAACGTCCTCTCTAGGCTATTGACGTGATAACCAGACTCATCAAGAAAACGGGAATATCAGCTGAAGTTGTTGCGGTGGACAGACGACAGTCAGAAACCTTTGGTAAGTGAATTTTTATATGAAAAAAACAAAAAAAAACAAAAAAGAAGAAAAAAAGCTAAAAAGACATTTTAAAAAATCCAAAAAAAAAAAGAGATAAGTAAAAAGAAACATAAGAGAAGAGAAGGTACAAGCAGAAGGAAGGATTTGTCTTGATGGTGGTATTTTGTGTGAGAGGCTTGGACAATGGGAACAGTGATCATCACTCAAGTAGAAGAATTGAAGTGACTTATTGTGGGGATGGTGAATGTTTTTTCTCTTTTTTTTTTTTTTTTTCCTTTTTTTGGTTGTATTCGGCTGCTTCAGACTTTTGTCCTCTGAGGACTTTGACTTGAATCGTTGTGTTATCTATTTTATTTGGCGGTTTATGTATATAAAATCTATGGCTCCATGTCTCTTTTTTGTACTTGTGCTGTCAAAACTAAGTCAGTAATTACAGTGAAAGGCGTCCAATTGGAAGGTTCTGCTTTTGAAACTCGTATAATTGAAAGTGTCGGAGTTTCTCCCAAGACGAAACACTCTATAGTGGATCCAAAATTTAGGTTATATAATTCGATATCTTCTTTTTTTCTCTCTCGGGCACTCTCCCCGAGATGTCTAAATGAAGTAATCACTTTCAAAAAAAGAAGATCTTGACTCTCCCTTCTTTCTAATTTAGGCAATTCTTTGCTTTCTCTACCGGTCTGTGAGGTGGTTCTCCTCCGACGATGAACTTTTCCCTGTTTTCTCAGTGATTCTCTCACGTCGCTCCTCTTTTGGACCCAAAGGAAACGGTGATGCCTCTCACGTTTTTTCCTTTTCTGGACTTCTCTGTCTTCAACGATTGAAGGCATGCCTGTTTTTTCCACTATTGACTTCTATGAGCTTTGAAAACCCTGGTCTCAACCTCATATGCTTCCACTTTACTACTATATCTCTGGCCTATTATCCTCATTACTTCCTGCTTCTCAGTGTTTTTGCCTTCATCTTTGCCGCTCTTTGTTTTTTCCATAAGTGGTGCAAGCTACCATAATTCCTTCCCAGCCTTCATTCCCATCCCTTACCATGTCTCGCCAAAACCGCCCAAGCTGGTACAAAGCTTCTCCCTCTCCTCCTCCTTCCCGCCTCCCTGTGCTCGAGGATGAGGATGATGAAGTTGTGATTCTTCCACAGGCTGATAACTCGGCCATTGTTGCCCGTCTGAACCTAAGCCTCGTGGGCAGAATGTTCCATAAAGGAGGCCGCAGTATGGCTGCTTTGGTTGCTACCCTCCCAAAAGAGCACATTTGGGACTTGGAGGGCCGAGTCCGTGGAGTCCCTATTGGTGATTCTCGATTCCAGTTCTTTTTTGAGACTGAGGAAGATCTACAGAAGGTCCTAAATAAGCGACCCTATCACTTTAACCACTGGTCATTTGCTCTTGAGAGATGGGAACCACATGTTGGTTCGGTCTTCCCTAACTCAATGACTTTCTGGATTCGCTTAGATGGAATCCCCTCTGAGTTTTGGACTGTCGCTTCCCTTACTGCCTTTGGTGCTTCCCTCGGACAGGTTCAAGCTGTTGACTCACCAAATGGCGGAATCCAGGTTACTGTCACGGCTGATATAGCCCTAAAGTTCCAGAAGAATGCCCAAATCCCTTCTGGAGAAACTGTTCCCGTATCCCTTCTTTACGAGAAGCTCCATCGGTGGTGTCTCTACTGCCGAAAAATTTGTCATGAATCAGATTCTTGTCCTTTACTAGATAAAGAGCAACGGAAAATATACCAGAGGCATTATGAGCTGCAAAAGGCACAGCGTGTGTCTTCACGCGGCCCTTCTCGTTCCTTACACACTAGTGCAGGTGGTAGGAGAGCCCCTGCTAGTCGCCATTTTGGTCGTTCGTCCAGTCATGTGACTCCCGGTGACTCATCCCAAGCTAGAGTGGCCAGAAAGGAGAAGCCCCGCCGTGATGCACCGTATCAAGTTCCCTCCCGTCGAGCTGAAGCTAGCGATGCTAGCAAGCTGGCCTCGTCCTCCCATCAGCATCACTCTGCTCAAAGGAAAGGCAAAGGCAAGATTTCTGAGGATGATTCGCAGGTGCATGCCGATAATTATTTGCCTCCGAGAAATCGCTCCACCCTGACCATTCGTGAAGGTGATGGGTCTTCCCCCTCAAGAAAGTCGCCTCCTCCTCAAGCCAGCAAGGAAGTGCCCGTAGTTTCTGACTCTCAGACAACAATTTCGGCTCCCTACCTTTCTAATTCCAGAGCCAAACAGGGAGTCTCTTCTCCAGCTTTCACCCGTGATCGGCCTTTCCGTCTAAGCCTCCAGAAACAATCGCGCACCGGTAAAGCAATGGATGCTATAGCTGACTCGGACCCCTCTCCTCTGCCTCTTCCTGGAGTCGGCAGCTCGGCAAAGAAGGTCTTGAACTTCTCTACCCAGGAGACAACTCCCTCTGAACTCCAACCTGATCTCTCCCTAGCGAGTCTCTCCCTGGATAACCAAAACCCATCGAAACCGCGCCGGAAAAGCTGGTACGAGATGACGCTGGAAGAGGAAGAGGAGCACGCTGGGGACGACTCCCAACTCCAGGAACCTCCCTTGATCGGTGAGGCCTGTGTCCCGGTCCCCGGGGGTGTTACGGCCCATTCTGTACATCCCCAAACCACTATGCTCTCTCCCCTGCGCACGACAACTGCGGTTTGGGATGATGCCTTGGATTTTGGACAAATAGATCCCCAATTGGATTGCTTGGATTTGGGCGACGACGATTTCGGATCGATGGACGAAGGGATGCTTGAGAACGACGACCTCCTGGGAGACGACCTAAAGGCGGAACTCCAAAACCAAGAAGCCCTCGCGAAGAATCATGGCCTCGCTGATCCAGCTCCGGTGGTCAAAGGCGAAAAAACACGGCTCCGGAGTCGGATTGTAGCTCTAATCTCTCCTCCGCGTGATGTTTCCCGATCTGAGCCGGTGACTTATAGGCCTCGGGCCAGGCCCATTAAGAAAACCTCTACTCCAGCCGATGGGCCCTCCAAACGTGGCACTAAAAGCCCAGCTTTGATGATAAGCTCTGCCTCCCGCAAGATTCAAATGGTTCACGGTGGCACTCCTCGCAAACGTCACCACTCCAAATCCGGCTCTTCGAGGCCGAGATCCTCTAAGAAGAATTCCTCCATCAGCAAGCATCACTCCCTTCCACCAACTTCTCTCCAAATTCCGGAATCTCTCCCCTCTGACGCGGGAACCTTTGTTCCCCCGGGGGATGTCCCATGAAGATCATTGCATGGAATTGTCAAGGGGCGGGTGCGAAATTAACTAAACGCCGACTGGAAGATCTTTGTCGTAGATTCTCACCAGGTTTTCTTTTTCTATCGGAAACAAAAAATGATCGTAGCTTCCTAGAAGATTTGCAGCATAATTTAGGATTTGACTTCCTCCATACAATAGATCCTTCTGGCTATAGTGGAGGTCTTGCTCTTATGTATTCTCGTGATTTTCCAGTTCAATTCTTGTATGTTAGCAACCGTGTACTAGATATTGAAACCATTATTGATGGAAATCGGGTTTTTTTATCCTTTGTGTACGGTGATCCGGTTGTAAAAAACCGAGAAGAGGTCTGGGAAAGATTGACCCGCATTGGTATCTCTCGATCTGAACCATGGTTTATGATTGGAGATTTTAATGAAATAATTGGGAATCATGAAAAAATAGGAGGGAAAAAACGTTCTGAATCCTCCTTCCTCCCCTTTCGGGCAATGATTAATAATTGTGGCATGCTCGAATTTCCTTTCCAAGGGAATTCTCTATCTTGGGCTGGGCGCAGAAAATGTGGTCTTATCCGGTCCCGCCTAGATATGGCCCTCGGAAATGAAGAATGGCATAACATATTTTCCCACACCAATGTGGAGTACCTTAAGATGTGGGCATCTGACCACAGGCCTCTTTTGGCCACTATCAGTAATAAACCTCAAAAATTTATTAAAAGGTTTATGTTTGATAAACGCTGGATTGGCAATCCAGGGTTTAAAGAGGCGGTTAAAAAAGGTTGGTCCTTCCCTAGGCAATGCATAGGAGGCTTTTTCCCACGTAAAATCAGGAATTGTAGAAATTCGATTTCAAAGTGGAGAAAATCAAATGTTACAAATTCTCAAAAGCTTATCTTATCCCTCTAATCTCAGATAGATGAGGCAAATGAGAATGAAAACATTTCCACCGAAGCCCTTCTGGCTCTGAAATGGAAACTTTGTGATGCGTACCGTGAGGAAAAATTATACTAGAAATTAAAAAGCAGAGAATCGTGGCTACAGGCTGGAGATATGAATACTAAATTGTTTCATGCAATAACCAAACAACGACGAGCCAGGAATAGAATCACGGGCCTACTTAATAAGGATAATCAATGGACTGCCAAGGAAGAGGACATCGAAGAGGTAGCGGTGGAGTATTTCTCTGATCTTTTCTCGTCTTCCAACCCTCGCGATGTTCATGCCGCCGTCCAGGAAGTACATGTGAGTATTACCGATGATATGAACCGAAAGCTCCTGGAAACAATCTCTCCAGAGGAAATTAGGAAAGCCCTCTTCTCTCTTAACCCAGAAAAGACGCCTGGGCCCGACGGATTGTCAGCGCTTTTTTACCAAAACTTTTGGGACATTGTTGGTGGCGACCTGATAAAACTTGTCCAAGATTTTTTCTCCTCGGAATCCTTTGACAAGTCCTTGAATGCGACAAACATTTGCCTCATCCCTAAGACGGAGCGCCCACGTTCGATGACTGAATTTCGCCCAATTAGTTTATGTAACGTAAGTTACAAAGTCATTTCCAAGGTTCTTAGCATGCGGCTTAAGAAACTACTTCCGGATCTTATATCCGAGACTCAATCGGCCTTTGTGTCAGGACGACTTATCACTGACAATATTCTGATTGCTCAGGAAAATTTCCATGCTTTACGTACAAATTCGTCCTGTCGAAAGCATTTTATGGCTATTAAGACAGACATGAGTAAGGCGTATGATCGGGTGGAATGGTCCTTCCTTGAGGCCTTGATGTCCAAAATGGGGTTTGCTCCTAAATGGATTAACCTGATTATGTTCTGTATAAAATCCGTTTCGTACAAAGTTCTCATTAATGGTTCGCCAAGAGGCCACATTTAACCTTCTAGAGGCATTCGACAAGGCGACCCGATCTCGCCCTTTCTCTTCATTTTGTGCACGGAAGCTTTAGTTGCGCAACTAACTGAAGCGGAATGGACTGGACGAATTCAAGGGCTACAAGTAGCGCGGGCAAGTCCGTCAACTTCCCATCTCCTTTTTGCGGATGATAGCTTGTTCTTTTGCCGAGCAACTCCAGATCAAGGCCAAGCAATTTTGGAGATTATCCGCTGCTATGGCGAGGCCTCTGGGCAAAAACTAAATGAGGCAAAATCTTCAATTATGTTCGGACATAAAATTGACTCTCTTACTCGAAATACTATTAAGAACACCCTTAATATTCAATTGGAGGGTGGGATGGGTACCTATCTTGGGTTACCGGAGAAGATACATGGCTCAAAGACCCAAGTCTTTTCCTTTGTTCAAGATCGCCTCCAGAGCCGTATCAATACTTGGTCGATAAAGTTCTTGTCCAAAGGGGGCAAAGAGGCTTTAATCAAATCAGTTGCTCAAGCCCTTCCGACATATGTAATGTCGTGCTTCCTACTGCCCAAGGCTATTCAAACAAAGCTCAGTAGTGCCATCTCCAATTTTTGGTGGAGAACCAAAGAGGATAGTAAAGGCCTCCACTGGTTAGCTTGGGAGAAACTTTGTACCCAATTCTCAGAAGGTGGTCTAGGATTCCGAACCCTGGAGGAATTTAATCTAGCTCTACTAGCTAAGCAAATGTGGAGACTCTTAAGGTTCCCAAACTCCCTATTAAGTAGAGTAATGCGAGGCCGATATTACCGTTTTAGTGATCCCCTCGAAATTGTGAAGGTCAATCGTCCCTCCTATTGTTGGAGAAGCCTTTTTGCTGCCAAACCACTTCTAGTTTCTGGTCTGAGGAAAACTATTGGATCCGGGATGATTACCCGGGTCTGGAAGGACCCCTGGATTCCAACAATCCCTCCTCGACCGGCTAAGAGTATTCTTGACACTCGAGACCCGCATCTCTATGTCAACGATCTATTGATACGAGATACACAAAACTGGAATTTACCCCGCCTGCGTGAATTGGTGGCTCCGGAGGACATTCCGCTTATATTGGGAATTAGACCTAGCCTAACCTACCTGAGTGATAACTATAGTTGGGTTCATACCAAGTCAGGGAACTATACTGTCAAATCAGGATATTGGGCTGCTAAAGCCCTAAATCGACCATCTTGTGACCTCCCTTCTCAGGGACCCAGTGTTACAGCACTTCAGGCACAAGTTTGGAAAACCAAAACCACACGGAAGATTAAACACTTCCTTTGGCAATGTTTATCAGGTTGTTTGGCCACTTGCCAACGCCTACACTACCGTCATATTGGAAGGGATAAAGGATGCCCCCAATGTGGCGCTGAAGAAGAAACGATTAACCATCTTCTTTTTGAATGCCCCCCGGCTCGTCAGGCTTGGGCCCTCTCTCCCATCCCGACCTCTGGGAATCACTTCCCAAATTCTTCTCTATTCTCTAATTTTGACTTCCTTTTCTGGAGAGGTCAAGAGAAGGGTATAGATGTCACAACATTACAAGCCTTCCCATGGATCCTGTGGTTCATTTGGAAGGCCCGTAATCGTTTTGTTTTTGAGAATCTCCGGGTTCCACCTGATGAAACTATTTGCCTCGCCTTGCAAGAGGAGGATGTCTGGCGAAAGGCTACTACACAAGTCTTGGATCCAGACTCGTCCCTAGCTGGCCATGCTAACCCTCCAATGATCATTCCTGCTGAATTGGAATGTCATTGTGATGCCTCCTGGACCCCCTCTGACCCTCTGAGTGGAATGGGGTGGGTGCTGACTGATGCTCTTTCCGTCAAGTATTTAGGCCTAAGAAGTATTCGACGGAGCTTATCCCCCCCTCCACGCCGAGTTTGACGCCCTTCTCTGGGCTATGGATTGTATGATTAAACTAGACCAAACTTCTGTAAGTTTCGCCTCAGATTGCTCTGACCTTATTGCTTTAGTAGAAAACCCCAAGGATTGGCCAACCTTTGCTGCAGAAGTCGCCTCTTTCCAATCTCTTCAAGCTAGTTTTCCGATCTTCCGCCTTTATTTTCTCCCTCGTCTTTCCAACCTCCGGGCTGACCTCCTCGTTAAGAAAGCTCGCGCCCGAGACTGCATTTTCTCCCATATGAGCACTTCGGCCCCCAATTGGCTCTCCCTAGCGGAGAGTATTTTCCCGATAGTGTCATAGATCTGTTGTTTATTTTGTCGAAAAAAAAAAAAAAAAGACGAAACACTCTTTTGTATAGATAAGTCTTTGTTTTTTGTGGACTTATCTAGAGTACGTACATGCCGAAGATTACAAGAGTAGGAGAAAGAACCAGTAGACCTGACCATTCAATGGTTTCAATATTTACCGTCTCAAAAGTATGAGATTTACGCACCTTGCCATTCTTACTATTTAAGTTATATATTGATCCACAAAGAATCTTATGGATCGCCTCGTTCTGTGCAAAATAACATTTTAACTGGACATAAGATAGAACCACTATCAAAACTAAAAATGTATTTTGATTTTCTTTGGATATCCCTACTGCGTATATGTTATCTTTACAAAAGTAAGGTGTTTAACTAACAAACAAACAAAAAGAATCATAAAATTCATTTTTTTTTCTTTCTTTTTTGTGTCTTCTATGATAAGACAACAAAAAATCTGGAGTTCTAAGTTCCAACTCTCTAGATTATTAGTGGAATTTGGTGAAAAAATCCTAAACTTCTTCGTCTTTTTGCCTACAAATTTGGAGAAAAGCTTTTACGGAAACTTTTAACTTGTTCGACTACCAATCTAGCTAGTTACAATTGGTCTTACCAGATATATATAATAGTGTTATGTATTACATCTGTGCTGTATTTTCAATGCGATCGAAGTCTAATTTATACGATAAGTAATTTATAGATTCGTGTTTCAAACACACTAGGCGATATAGGCTTTCAGATTGTCCTTTCATAAACAGCCGGGGGATATTAAACGACTAAGATAATATTATTATAGTTAGTATATACAACAACACATATATACAGTATATATATATAGGTATTTATTGATTGTAGATACATAATACGAATACAACAAACGCACGGACGTATGCGTTAGATTGCCAAAAGAGGGTCATCAATCAATTAGATCATGTGTTTTTGAGCTAGTAATTCAATTCTAACGTTAATGATAGTCACTTTTTTAACGTTATTAGTCATACTTAGAGATAGGTAATAACATACTTTTTACATTTTCTTTATTAACGCCTTCATATACACACACACAAAAAGAAAGCTATTTAATTTGAAGATTTATTTTCCTATACACATTCATCCAAGCAGATCTGAAACACGATCATGGATTACACAAAAGTAGATATAAAAAGCATAAAACTAGGAAAATATATACTACTATTACTCCATGGAGAAATTAGAAAGTCAAAACAAGACTACGAAAGTTACCTATTACTATTGATTTTTTGTTTTTGTTTTCGACATGATATTTTGTAAAGTGACGTAGATCAAATTTAAACCTCCTGAGCCATCATCCACTTCTGCAACCTCAGCTGTCTATAGAACCTCTGTATAAACTCCTCCGCGGCTCTGTCCACGTGGCAGCTTTCCATCGTACCCGTGCTGCTAGCTACGTCCGGAAACACGGCCGCCGACACGTGTCGGTCCCAGACGGAGTCACGAACTTTGGGGAGTGTGTTGTACCGGATATACGCTTGGCGCTGGCGCTTGTTTATCAGCGGTTTGTTGTGATGAGACCCGTTGCTACGTCGTCCTTTGCTGAGGGTGGTGGCGTAGGAACGTCTCGGTGGTGTGCTGCTGCAGCTGAACTCGTAGTCCAGCTGGATCGGGACAGGGGATATGTAGGATGACCGGACGTCTTGACGGCATGTGATACGGGAGTGGGAGGTTGAAACAGCGTCGTTTAGGGATTTGCGTAGGATCTTGCCACGTTTCGCGAGTAGCTGCGGGTCGAGGGTGGTGAGGAGTTTGTGGCGTGAGGCGTCTGAAACCTTCTGGATGGTGAACGAGATTAGCTTGGCCAAGCTCGAGAGCTTCTTAGTCGTGACTGTTGAACAAACCTCCATCGCGTCGTGTGTTTGCATATGTGCGTGTGTGTGTTAGAGAGCAAGAGAGAGGGTTTGGCTTAGGGTTGGAGAGAGGTGGGATTTAAAGAGAATAAAGTGTTGGGATTAATGAAGAAACTGATGATGGTCTTTTTATAACGGAAACATTATATTTATTCCACGATATAGGATTAATGTTATAATTAATTAAATAGGAAGATGAAAAAAAAAAAGAAGTCCATGGGTCGACCAAATAATTTTATCTCAACCGTTAAAAAACATTCTCTTGATTTTAACAAAGAGACTCTAGTTTGAGTCTCCCACTATAGTGTGAGTAAACAAAATCATGAAGAGTCTATGTTAACTTTCATGAAAAATCAAATTATCACAGTTTCAAACTATATTATAATATAAGTCCATGTATTCTTTTATAGGTTGTGGTAAAAAAATCTGAAGTAACTACAGTTTGATCGCATTGATTTTTGGGTTTATTTGCTTTGCTTATGCTATATGGCAATTTATTTTTTGGGATATAAATTGGCAAAATATATATGCAGTGCAAAAATTATAAATAAGAAAGTTATGCTTTTTTGCATGTGATTTATATAAATGATTCATTTAACTCGTAAACTCTAATCTCTATATATATAATGAATTCCTCGTAAATCACGTGTTGGAACATTAGAGGAAATATATACTAGTATACTGAATATTGAAATCTCTAACCATCAACAAAAGCGATTCGATTAGTAGGAAAAAAAATAAAATTTACAATTTTAAAGTGAAACAATATTTAAATAGTGTAATGATAACAGCTGCATTATACAAATTTTGATTTGAACCGTGTCTGTCTTTATGGATTAAATTATATTTGGTCACCTTTTCTTTTTCGATGTCTTCTTTACTTTATTTAAATTTCTTTGTCAGGGTAGGAAAAAAATAAAGAAAGGAGAGAAAGATAATAGTAAACTAAGTTTTGTTTAATGGTTATGTAATTGTATTACTCTCCTCTCTAAGTTGTTCGCATATGCAAAAAGTGTAATACGGGTAGGGATCCATTGGTCATATATTGTTTAATTGTTAATCAGAAAAAGTTGATTTTGATTGCTTTATCGAAAGAGTTAAAATCTTATCGAGAATAATTTAATTAATATTTTTTTATGGAAAAAAAAATCATGAACTGTTTTCTTCCAAACTTGGATCTCTCGGCCACTGTTCCCAAGTTTCGTATAGATACTTCGACGTTCGTCGCTAGCTTATTATAACATTATTTTTAGGATATTTTCATTAGGAAAATTATAAAAATTTAACTAATCAAAAACTATATATAAAGTGACTTATAAATTTATAATATAACAAAAGTGATTCATTGTGTGGCTTTGGGAGAACGAAATTAATTGTGTTATTGATGAATCAACTAGAAATTATATTCAAATTCTTAGGAAAGCTTATATCCAAAAGATTGTAAAATTCCGGTATAGTACGGCATGTAAATTCCAACTCCAGTAAGAAAATATTTCGAAATTTGTGTAAGCAATAACCCTAACAAAATTACTTTTCAAAAAAACAAATGTGTGGAAATTTACATGTAATTCTTCTCCCATTTTAACAGATGAATAACAAAGACATTTTGACCTAACTGGATTTGTTATTTTTATGTAAAAGTGTAATTTTGATTGACTCTTTGTTTCTTACCAATAAACCCTCACGTAAAGTTGAAAAATGTAACTTTTGCGCTTCTTTTTTCACTTTCCCATAATATTACTTGTTCGGAGAGTAGTATCATTTGTGATATATAATAACGAGATAATCATTACACCTAGAAGAAGTGTGTCAATTAGCTGGAGATTGATATAAAATTTCGCATTATCCGACCTAAAAATTAGGCCTAGATATTGCAAATAGTCATTGTTGAGCAATGAGTGCTTCATAATTTGGACCAAAAAATCGTCATGATTAGTTTTATCACAATTTCTCCTTCTTTTCTACATAAACTATTGTATTTTTAAGGTTTATGCAATTTGATGGAACTATGCTGGATATGTCCAAAGGAAAAGAAAAATGGGTCCTACGGTAATGGAAAAAAACATAAAACAAAGTAAGATGAGAAACCTTTTTTACATTTTCCAATTTTGACACCTTCTCAACCAAGACTTATAATTAACAATATCTTATATATAGATTAAAAAAAGTTTGATTACCTTCTGTATACTGTTTCTTTACAACTTGCTTATTGTAAGAGGAGGATACGATTCAAGTTCCCTGTCTCTCAATTAATTAGTTTTCTCTGTGTTTTGGTTGAAATAACAAAAAATTTGCTGTAATTTAGCAAAGTTAGGTTTGGTCATACCCTTCGGAAAGCCATAAAGCATCAAGATTGTTTTAGAGATTATCCCTAAAGATAATCAATTTAGTTTTCGAAGAGTTTGGTATAGTTGTAGATATTTCAATGGCAATGTCTCTCTATTTACATTACTTTCACCAATATATATGGTTTAAATAAGGTGTCGTAATGTTTGGCGGTGTTTGAAAAAGGTCATATATATAAATATCTTAACTAGCTAGATAGTATATATATACTACAAAGTGAAAACCTAATTAATAAGTAACTTTGAATTTGTTTGTCAGAACATCTTTACACATTAAAATAAGTGGTGTGGTGTTGAATTCATTTTTAGCAAGCCTGTAAAACTAGGATTCGAGATCTGAGGACCGTGCTTGATTCTAATAGTAATGTTTTATAATATCACCGGCCTTTCCTGGTTGATTCCATTTTCTTATCAGTTTTTTTTTTTTCTTTTTCGTGAACCTCATTGTTCTCATCGATCGATTTGTTACTACAAAACATATTTTGAATTACACTATGCATACATATATATAATCAGCGGTTGGTGAGTACAAAATGCAACACCGGATAATACGCAAAGTTTAATTGAATTTTGAATGATCCAGAAGCACTTGCCGTGGCCAACAACATTATCCTTTTATATTTTAACAAAGGAAAGATTGGTTACAATTTCACTTTGTGTGTGTTTTATATATACTATTGTACGGTTGCTGTAGACTCTGGGTTAGCTAATGATGACTAAAACGATATAGGATCCCCTACTTTGCTAGCTACTAATATAAATTTAAAGAGATGGCTTGTTAAATTTCTATTTTAGTGGAGTATCTTTGCTGTGTCGGATAGTGGGTTCGAAAAGTTTTGTTTTGGAAAGAAATACATATATTTCAATATATATAATATACACAGTTTACTTTTATTGTATTGGTGCATCGAAATAAAATAGTTTTTTCTTTCTTGTGCCTCGCATGAAAAACAAAGTAAAAGATATAGACATATATTACTGTAACCTTCGTTTGTTAGAAACATTTAGTTCTTTTATGAGTTATATGTAACCAATATCACCTAAAGAAAAGAAAAACAAGAACTCAAAACTGTTGGAATTTTAGGTTTTTACTAGGGGTAAAACATATTTGAGATTTGATATACGATTCAAATCCGATCTATTCCGAAATTTTTTATATCCATATAGTTTCTGTGCACTTGCATTTTGCATGATACTAGGGGGAAAAAACATATCATCATCTGAGTATGCATTTCTAAGGCCATCATCATATATGTAGACAAAATTGAGAGAGAGATTGAGAAAAACTACATTGGGGCGACTTAAGTTTCACTTGATTGGGCTGCGTTGTGGGTTTCACAACGAACTTTGAACCATACTTTGTATTTGGGCTTGTATGTTGGTTGGGTTGTAGTTTGTTTTCCATTTATTTGAATTATCGTTTGGTCCATATTTTTGAATTGATTCTTTCTTTCAAGCATAACCGGATTTATCAATTGAGGTACTTGTTCTAAGTTCTAATACAAGTTTTTCCTGCGTATATACAGATATGTCCAGGAGAAAGAAATCGATCATGATAGTAAGCATGATTCAAGTTCTTGATCTTGAGTCAATTAGCCGTATTAATTGTTATATTTCAGCTCTTTTAATTTTAGTCAGAGAACTGACTTTTTGGTAGACACATGACTTTTTGGTGGGGGGGAATTAGCAAGTCTTTGTTAGTAACTATCATCTAGTGGCATGGAGAGAGACATAGGGAAATTTTAGGGGCATAAAATAGATAAAATTAATTAAGTTTTTCAATAGAAAAAATTAAATAATAATAGATATTGACTATTTAATATTGAGGCATTACTTAACATATACATAAAACATTAATTTAGCTATTAATTATGAACATAAAATTATTATGAAAAGCTAAAAAAAGAGAATTACAGCCATATCATAACAGATGAGATGTATTTAAAAGTAAAAAAGTTTAATAATTATTGATATATAACACATATTAAAATAGAATAATATAATTCTAATGTGCTTTATTGAGAAATATATCTAAAAAGAAGTTTATTTCCAATGGTATAGAAAGAGACAAAAAAAAAAAAATTGATTTGGTCCATTTGTTCGGTTGTGCCATAGAGATTAGTTGAACTTACACGTCAAGTCGTCAACGAATGTCAAAGAACTCAAGATGCGAGTTGTGAGAGGATGAGGGTAGAACTGTAATAACTCTTACATACATATGTATTTGCTTGCTTTGGCCTTTCAGCATATATATATAAATAGGTCTCTTCCCTTAGCAAACTCAATAAGCATAACATAAGTTAGCACCGAAGCAAAAGTTCGTTGGTCAAATGGGAACGGAATCAGAAACGGTGTCGTGTGAGTGGGTCGGTAAGCACGTAGCTCAAGTCAACGGCGTCACACCTGAGAAAGTCTGGTCAGTGTTTGCAGACTTTTGCAACATCCAAGAGTGGTTCCCAGCACTCGACACGTGTTACCGTGTCCAAGGAACCGATGGAGAGCCTGGTCTGATCCGATACTGCGCCTCCACAAAAACAAAGGAAGAGGGGACAAAGTGGGCTAAAGAGCGGCTGGTCAAGATCGATCACATCGGAAGGTGTTTGAGCTATGAGATTCTCGAGAACAACGTGGGGTTCGGATCTTACGTGTCGACGGTCAGAGTAACGCCAGTGGACGGTGACGATCAAGTGTCTCGAATCGAGTGGTCGTTTGTGGCCGATCCTGTTGATGGTTGGAAGAAGGAAGACCTTGATTCTTACGTTGACTTTTGTCTTCAACATATGGCCAAGAAAATGGAACTCAATCTCTAGAATCTTGTTCTTGTTCTTTCCTATGGTGTAAGTCTTGTCTCGATGGTGGTGGGTTTCATGTTAGGAAAAATTAAATAAAAAAAAAAAAAAATCATGTGGTTATATGATTCAATGGAACTTCGTTTTCTGAATTTGTGCATTCTCAAGGAAATTACGAATTGTCCATTACGTTATATTAGTCTGTTCCATATAACATTTTCGGTTGATTTTTTTGTTTCCGGCCATGAAAGCTGATTTGCAACCAAGAAAAAAGGATATTTAACCAAAAAGAAAGTTCTAAAAGAATATTAACCACAAAAATATTCCAATAGGATACGAACCACGAAAAATTTGTTCTCTTTCGAAAATTTATTGGAAACAAGAGCATTAACTGCAAGCGTTATTATAAGAAAAAGAGAGAATCAAATACTAGCTTTAAGATTTTATTATGAGCATCGGGAATGGATTCTTCCTCTACGTGGCGGAAGTTGACATACGTCAGTGTTCTTCCTTGTTGGGCTTGTTTGTACTCTGTTTCTTTGTTCTTTTCTGTTGACATCATCGTGTCAGCTTAGTTGGACATTGCTTGACTTTGGGCCATCGATCTTTTTTATATTTTGATTTTTTTTAATACCAGGATTGACCACTAATAAATAACAAAAGACTAACGCATTTACAGGATAATGTGAAAGTTTGAAAGAACATGAATTTTTCTGTTTAGAAATTACTTTGTTGTAGTGTCTAAAAAACACTATATGAAGAATAAAGACATGTTATGTGGACAAATTAAGGTTTCAATAGAGATTATCAGCTAAATAGATCGATAATGGTTTTTCTTTTAATTTGTACACGAACATCTGGTTTGTAATAAATATTCCAATTTTTAAGAGGCAAAAAAAAGTATTGATTTTCCAAATCATAAAAGTAGGGTGTCACAACATTTCCTAACCAACAAGCTAAACACATACTACAGAGTGCTGCAAAGTTCAGAAACGTAAATAAATTCTTTCAAAATTAGAGATGATAACTAAATACAAATTAACTAAGAGTTAAGAGTATATATAAATATATCTCTGGAAAAAAGGTCTCTGTGTTTTGATAATTTTAAGGAAAAACTTGGATGACAAATTCATATAAAAGACCAGTTGAGGAACATGAAGCAGATACAGTGAGGATCTTCGTCGTCGTTCAACACTTTCCATGCAACAGCCTTCTCGTACGTCACTGCTCTTCCCATGCTCGACATGGATACGCCTCCATCCATACACATAAATCCCTGAAATTTTATTTTATTATTAATTAGTTACGATCCCATCCCATATATGATTTCAAATACGAGGTACTACAAAACCCTTTTAAAGTACCTGTTGCATAATCTGAGGGAAGTGATCTGAGCATAACGTCTTCTTCCCGTTGTTGTTGTCGAAGATCTTCTCGAGAGTGATATCTTGAAGTGCCACCAACGTCGTCTCCAGCATGTCTAAACCAGCTTGGTTCGCAAACGTGAATACCGGCGGTAAGGCCTGTAATGATGATCAAACCGGTCCACACTTTCCTCGTTAGATATTATGAAATTATAATGCATGCGAGTGGGAATGCGAATAAGAAAAAGTTACCTTGAGTGAACAACACATGACAGCATCGGGATGGTACCAAAGAGACTTGAGAAGATCGGTTCCGTGAGGTTTAAGGAGATCAACGCCAAGGTAACATCTATAGGAATGAGAGATCCAGCGAGCAAGCGTGTGAGCTTCGGGTGATGCGGGTGGAGGACGCAGGCCGCTCAGCTGATGAGAAGAAGGAGAGAGAGCAAGTGCTACACGTTGGACCGACGCGATCACACTTCTCACATATTGTCTAGCCATTGAGGCTACGTTCTCTTGCATATGCATCTCAAAAGCTAGCTGAAACGCTATGGTCATCACTGACTTTGTGTTTCCTCTGCTTCCACATGAATCCCCGGCTGTTCTGCTCCCTACGTCTAGAGCCGACGCTAGGTCTAGCGTTCGGTTAGGACTCAAACCCTCCTATATATAATCGGATCGATTAGTATTTGATTCGATTGAAGTTATCATTGATTGTAATTTGTTATATCAAATTGAACGTACTGATTTGGAATCTAGAGGAATGATGCGGAATCCGGAAGGAATGATGGGGGCATCGTCAGAGAAAGAGGCGTCGATTGGTGCAAAGATAAGCTCTGCGCATGATTCAACTGCGTTCTCATCCACCCCACTGCACATCTATATAACCAAAACCATATGATTAATTCACTGAAAAAAATCTCAAAATATTCAATCTTTTTGACATGTATGAAATATTGTTTAGTCACACACGGAAACTCATAATAATTAACTGACGTTTGATAGAATCAGCTCTTACTTGTAGAAGGAAGATATCAGCAGGCATCATCATGTCTTCTTGGTAATGCCCCAAGCTTTCAAGCTTAATCACTTCCATAAACTGTACAAAAAAAGAAAAACAGAGAATAAGGGCATAAGTTTGATTTTTTTTTTTTTTGGTTTAGTTTGACAAGTAAAGAAACATTAGTTTTGATCTTGAGGATCTCTAACCTCTTCATTCTCTATAGTGTGAGCTAGAGGAAGAATAACTTGACCACCAAAGCTCCCTGGGCGAGGGATTGGTAAGCTACAAGGGCCTGCTTTGATAGCTGCGGCTGAATAAGCATCAATGCTATTGTCTGCCCATTCTTGCCTATGTTCCCTCAAGAACCGTAGAAGAATCGAAGGTGGGACATTCTACACACACAAAATATTACTTTTAGTGATAGATGAAAGGGAGGAATTTGAGGATTTCAACTTTGAAATTTGATGAGCTTAGTTACTTGTAATAACATGGAAGCTTTGGCACATAGAACTGCGCTAGGCATAGAAGTGAAGCCATTGGCAAATGGCAGACTTGATGTCATCATCATCTTTGTGGGAGATGAGTTCACAAGAAGAGTGACATCATCAATACCATCGCTCTCTAGCATCGACCATCCTTCATCGCTGAACCCGTTAACTGCCTCGTTGAATCCTCTGTCATTATTAAAGAAATAATTTTAGGGTTTAGAAGACATGAGTTTTTCAAGTGTTTTTGACATGTGAGAAGCTTTTAATTACTTGCTGAGTCTTTGGCTAAGTGCTCTTAGAGCGGCTGGCCTTCTTCCCCATCCGGTTACGTTAGGTTGTGAAATCTCTTGAGATATTTGCCTCAAATAGCGAAGAGCCTAAAAATACCATAACATATTACACACTGTTTTTTTTTTTTAAAAGACACGAAAAAACAATCTGTCTTAATTAGGAGTCTTACGGCCATGGTAGTTCTTTGGGCGAGTAATGTGGAGGACTCATAGAGAGATCGAAGAACTTCTGGCACACTCCATGGCTACAAAAAGATTTCACCAAGATTTATTGAATGTTATTGGAAACCAAAAAACAGAATGAAATGTGGAAACAAAAGAATCACACGAGTTTCAGACCACGAACTAGGTTTCTTGTGTAAGAAGAAAGATATTTAATTAACTGACTAGATAGATGATAAAAGGTTTATACCTCAAGGTCGAAATGATCGACAATGTGAAGAATGGATCCACCTCCTTCGCAAGGTCTAATGAGGTAACCACTTGGTAAAATCTCTGCTCTGACGAAATGAGGAGATGGAGGCATACTTGGCCCGTTTTGTGTATTGTTCAAGGACCGTTCGCATATCTACAACAATTTTTTTTTTTATTTTATTTAGTAACATCGATTGACTGAAAGAGAAACAAAATATCGATGTTATGAGAATAATTACCACAAGGCTGCCGTCTTCCATTACAGATGTGTAACGTAGCATCCAGAAGTCACGAGCTGGTGCCAATGTTGTTGGCGCATAAAGCTTTAAGAAAGGAAGAGGTTAACTTAATTAGTTTCTTTGTGATTAGATTATTTGGTTTGGTGCTGAAGATGGAATCATCTTTAGGGTTCTTGATCACAATACCTGCATGTAGATTAGTTCGAGGGTTCCACCATTTGCAGTGGAGAGGACGTTAACGATATCTAGTGATCTGCAATCACGCGACCAACAAGGCTTATCCTTTAGGATCTCCGCGACCTGCAGAACAAGGAAAAAAAAAAAAAACAGAATTGTGATTGATTTATATGTTCGTGGTTGATGTGTGTGGATGTGACTATTAGAAAGAAGTGAAAATACTTACTCTTGTGGGATCAAGACCCACGAGGCCGCAAGCACGGGCTGCGATTCCCGTGCATCCGTGAGAAATAGCAACGATTCCTATGGAATCCGGACCAGGCTGCAGATGAAACTAGTCAGTAAAGAAATGAAGATGATGAAGTAACCAAGAAGAGCAAGAGTCTTTGGGAATTATGTACCTTCATCCCAGGCATTTGAACCCACTCCACGGCGGTTCCAGTGGCCTTAGAAATGAACTCTGTTAAAGTTTCATCCGCAATGGATAATAGTCTGAAGCAACACACAAGAGATTTATTGAGTTACATATTTAAATTAACTAAAAAGATAGAAGTTATGAATGGTGGCTGCTAACTAATTATGATAGAGCGGTGAAGCATAGAGTGGATTATCAATTTCAAAGGCAAACATGGTTGGTTAACTTACCCAGCAGGGCTAGCATCCCGGGGCTGATGTTGAGGGGTCAACTGGTGCTGACCACTCGTCACCACTGACTCACAGCTCGTATCAGTGGTGGCCAAGTTCCCTTGCTATTTCCCACAATTACAAAAGAAACCAAGAGAGACGATCAAATCCTTAACTTATGTGTCAAGTAACGCATGTGAATGAATCAAAGATAGATTAATATGTGTACGTTTTGAGGATGTTGGCGAAAGTAGCTGTTCTCGTAAACCAAGTGAGACACTTGCTTTTGCAAGCGGTCATTCTCTTCCATCAAAAGCTTGTTCATTGCTGTTAGCTTCCGATTCACGGCCTGGAGCCGGGACGCCTCTTTCCGCTGTTTCTCTCTACACCTGCATAAACTCGCAACACCAAGAATCATCAGCAAACTAGCTAGAGAGTTTCTTGGGTTTCAAGCAATGATGAGAATGAAGAAGGATGAACCTGCGGTTCTGGAACCAGACTTTGATCTGTTTAGGTTCGATATTGGAGAGGATAGGACATTCGCGGATTAGTT